ATATGTAAACGCGGTACATGGTAAAATGTTTTTTTTTTTTTTCCCCTATTGAAAAGTGGTGCTCCTATGGGGATGCATTGGTTAATGGGGGTAGGAGGGCTAGGGGCCCTATGGGGGTGCTAGGGGCGATACCAAATGATGATGTCTAACCGTAGTACATGGTAAACTGTTTGTTTTTTTTTTCCTGATGAAAAGTGGTGTTCCCATACGGATGCATTGGTTAATGGGGTAGGGGGCCTAGGGGCCCTAGGTGGAGTGCTAAGGGCGGTACCAAATGATGGTGATGGTACATGGTAAACTGTTTTTTTTTTTTTTTTTTTGCCTAATGAAAACTGGTGCTCCTATGGGGATGCATTGGTTAATGGGGGTAGGGGGCCTAGGGGCCCTCTAGCGGCGGTACCAAATGATGGTGATGGTGGAGGCGTTACATGGTAAACTGTTTTTTTTTTTTTTTTTTCCTATTGAAAAGTGTTGCTCCTATGGGGATGCATTGGTTAATGGGGGTAGGGGGCCTAGGGGTCCTAGAGGGGGTGCTAGGGGCAGTACCAAATGATGATGTGTAAACTTGGTACATGGTAAACTGTTTTTTTTTTGTTTTTTTTTCCTATTGAAAAGTGGTGCTCCTATGGGGATGCATTGGTTAATGCCACTTAATGGGAGTGAGGGTTAGTGGGGGCGGTAAGGCACCTGGTTAGCTGTTTTGTTTTTATCGGTTTTTGTGTTGCCATTGTCACTTCATGCTTTATCCTTGCATTCAGTTATGCTGCTTCACGTCGGTTCATTTGTCCAGGTTCACTGCAACCGTCCGGGACGCAAGCACGCATCATGACGGGCCTGCCAACATCCTGTCATAGTCTGCGGCTCGGACATCATGACGCGGCAGGGTGGTAAAGAACATGTTGGCCCTGACCAGGCCACGGCGACAAACGAAAGTGGTTCAAAAACATGAAGACATACGACTCTCCATTTAAGATTGATCCGGTTGTTGATGCTAAACGCGATGACCCCGTGTAGCATTTTGTTGCACAAGGCCGATACTTGCATGGTGATACGGCGTTGGGGAGGAAAAGTGGTCGTCGATGTGTGTGCAAATTGTGTGGGAAATCTATTTGTGGGGAAGTAGAGATGCGAAGGAACATTTTCTCAAGAGCAAGGAATTCAGATGCCCGGTGGGGACTCCTACCATGTATTATACCATCTGGGGGAAGAACATGGACAAGTGTCCAAAAGAGTTTGTTGCCTCGATTGAGGAGTTGAAGAGGCTTCCTCCTGGTCACCCATGCTTCCAGTGGCCGGCGCTTTCATTCCCGGTGGACTTGGAGCCTCAGTGGCCGGCGCTTTCATTCCCGGTGGACTTGGAGCCTCAGTGGCCGGCGCTTTCATTCCCGGTGGACTCGGAGCCTCGTCGGTCACCCGATGGTGGGGCATGGCCGGTTGTCACACCGTCTCACTGAGCAGTCGCCGCGCCGGTTGTGCCACCTGCACTGGGAGCACCATCGGCACAAGCACTCCCGCCGGCGGTCCTTGGAAGAACGACGGTGCCGGCGGTATCGGCAACCAGACCCCCTCCAGTGGCATCTGATGCGTTGGCATCCGTTGTTGCAGGGACCGGGGGCGAGGACACTCGACGTACCACCGCATCGCTGGAGCGCCAGACGGTTTCTCCATCGGAGCGTGGTAGTGTCTTTGATGAGCTCGACACACATCAGTTCATCGACGGCGGTACATGGGGCAGAAACCCGGGGACTTCGGTTGGCTTGCATCCTTTGCTCACGAATGCCGCGGCCATAGCTTCGGGTCCAGCGGGAGCTCCTCTTGCGGCACACCGTGAAACGGCCGCGGCACGCACGTCTCCGTGGTCTCCTCCTCGTCTTTCACGTCCAGCTGCCCCTCTGTCAGCGACAAACTCGCTTCCACCATCGTCCTAGGCGGCAGAGGACGCCMCCCCCCCCCCCCCCCCCCCCCCCCCYCCCYCCCCCCMCCSCCMCCCSTCTATGATTCCTCSCCCACTCCCGCAGCCAAGACTGCCCTCGCTTTCACTGGTGTCCTGGCAGGGGATATGGATCCACTGCAACGGCTACGCGACATTCCACTCCTACAACGCGCTACACCGGCGAGTCCAGCTAGTTTGTTTCATGGCAGTGGATGTGGCCCGATCGCACGAGGGAGGGGCACATACAAGCAGCAAGCAGTGACTTCATATTATTCCGACCCGAGGGAGCATGCATGACACATGACAATCATGCGGTTCATCGTGGAAAGCGGCATGCCATTCAACTTCGTGAAGCTTGAAAGATTCAGACATGGTCCCGAGGGCCATCATCCCTCCTGGGGTCCCGAGGGCTCCATGCCCAAACCGCCGACTTATCACATGGTCCGCACAACGTTGTTGGATGAGCTGGATGCCGATGTCCAGCGGTGTGTAAAGCCGGTGCTCGAGACTTCGCGTCAGAGTGGTTGTACTATCATGACTGATGGATGGACAAACATCCGTGGTCAGACATTGTGCAACTACCTTGTCGGCACTGAAAGGGGACCCGCATATCTTGCCACAGATGTTATGCGCGGGAAGAAAGATGTTGCGGCGTTGGCGAAGGCATGGTTGCACAGGTTGAAGACCATCGATATCCAGCTCAACGACATCACGGCATTCGTCACGGATTCTGCGGGTGTGAACGTATCCGCCATGAAGATATTCCAAGAGGACGAAAGCGTCAAACATATCTTTTGGATTCCCTGCGTGACACATGTCATGGACCTCATCCTGGAGGACATTGGGTCAATTGGTTGGGTTGCGTCACACATTGCTCAGGCGCGGCTTGTCACCAAATTCTTCAAGCGCCACAGTCATGCACGCGAGGCTTTGGAGGAGAAGACCAAGTTGAAGTTGTTGCTGCCCGTAGAGACATGTTTCGGCACCAACGTCATTATGATTCGGAGACTGTTGGAGTTGCAAGCCCATCTCATGCAGGTCGTCATCGAGGATCCGTGGCGCGACACTGTTTGGGCCACGCGGAAGGTCGGGCAGGACGCCGAGATCACAACATGTGCGGGATCTCCACATGGTGGGAGGATTTGAGGCGATTGTTGCGGATTATGGAGCCTGTGATAGAGATGCTGCAGATGCTGGACAGCGACACAAGGCAGATCAGCAAGGTTCTGTGCCGGTATGAGATTATGATCGCATCCTGTTTTGCCGCGTGCGACTCCCTCAACACGACCGAGCAGGATGAGATCCTCGAGGTTTTCGACAGGCAGCGCACCATGTTTCGTACTCCGGCCCACATAGCAGCCATGATGTTGGATCCGTGTTTCGGGATCCCACCCTCGCAGACGACGACATGATGCAAGAGGGGTTGAAAACCGCTTTGGTTCAATTCCGCTACCCTAAGGGATCTCCACAGCACAAAGAGGTGCTAACAGTGATCGACAACTTCCATCTCAGGAAGAAGCCTTTCTAAAGCGCGACCATGGACAGAGCCATGACGAGCTACGTGCACCCGTCTAGTTTTTGGGAGTCCAAATTACGCAGGTTTCCACACAGCGCATACTTCGCCATGAGGATTCTGCGCATTTGGACGACAGCGTCGCCCTGTGAGAGAGCTTGGTCCCACTGGAGTTTCATCCACTCCAAGACTCGCAACAGGTTGGAGGTGGGACGGGCTGAGAAGCTCGTGCGGTGCCACTGGAACCTCCGTCTACTTGACCGTCCATCTTTGACCGAGGACGCTCCTCACGACAGGTCCGACACATTCGAGAAGTGGGTTCACTATTGGCAGCATTTGTAGGACGAGTTGCCCACCGACCAGCAGCTCATTGTGGGGAGCGGAGCGATATTGGCAGCCACACATGAGGAGATGTGTGTGGCGAGGGAGCGCATGCGCAGCGTTCCTCGCATGGGCTCCGAGCGTCGCCTTGTGCAATCGGACAAGAAAAGACGTGCACGCATAAGGGCTCGTGGCGGGCGCGGCGGGCACTTGGGTCGTGGGCGAGGTGGCCGTGAGGGACGTGGGCAGGGTTCCGCGGCTGGGATATGTCCTCGCGGTGCGCATTCTGCGGGGCGTGATAAGGCAGCGGTCGACCTTGTTCGTTTTCCTCGACAATGTTGGGACGAGGGAGATTTTTTGTATCTTATCTCCTCTAGCGACGACGAGGATTTCTTCTATACCACCACACCGATAGCGGGGAACGACAACGGCAGGCCATGCGACAACAGGTGTGACGATGACGACAATGATGGTGGAGCGGATGACAGTCGTGGCCCTCAATCATCGAGACGAGCTGGTGGGAGAGGAGTTGTTGCACAGCGAGAGGCAGTTGGTGATGGTGGAGGAGGAAACAATCTCAAGTGTGGGGCCCATCCAGGAGGCGACAACCTCGGAGTAGCGGTCAAGGAGACGGGTGACAACGCAGCTATGGACGTCGAGCACCATTCGGCCGTCGGTGTCGATGACGGAGGAAGCAGGGGCGAACACGCGGGGAGTCGACCTCCGACGTTTGCAACGCGGGCCGAAGAAGAGTTCTATTGCAGATCTCGACCTCCGACGTTTGCAACGCGGGCCGAAGAAGAGTTCTATTGCAGATCGCGCGCGGCGATGCCACGGGGCCCTCCGCCCCACTGTTCCTCCACGAGCCGCGGAGGTGCCTCTTGCCCATGTTTCCGAGGACTCCATCAGCGACGGTCTAGGAGAGGAGGGACACCCGTCACCTGGCGACGCAGCACAGGAGACACCTCTAGTTCATGATGGCGCAGTGGACGACGCACGTCCAATTCGTGGCGCAGGGGAGGAGACATGCGCGGCAGTCCACAATGTGGAGGGAGGCACACTCCTACTTTCACGTAGTCCCTCCGTGACGATGACGGGCGCCGATCAGCTTGCCGCGCAGACGAGTGGACCTTCAGCCATAGATGTCGTTGGACCCGTGCAGGGACTGCCCGGGCGTGCGTCCACTAACATGCTTTCCCACACAGTCATTCCCAATTTGGAGGATGGCGAGATCACCCCAGCGACGGCACGCACTTGAAACGGGGATGTTTACCTCACATGCCCCTCTGGTAGTCGTCCTCGGACTGGCGACCTACTCTCCATAGGCTCCACGCTCGACAACATCCCCGACATCCGCACTCTTATATCACCAACACTGTCGCACATGCAGTCCCCTCCCCTCGACGGTGGGACCACCCATGACACAGAAGGCGAGGATGTTGGCCTCGTGTGCCCCTCAGGGAGTCTTCCTCACACAGGCGACATGCTCGCAATGGATTCGGCGCTCGACGACATCCATGACGCAGGAGAGAGAGGGGTTGAGACACGATACTTCCTCCCATACACTTTGCGACCCCAACCGTATTTCGGGTGGGGAAACCCCACGAGGTCGCTCTAGGCTTGGCCGAGACCACGACGCGCCATGGAGGTCTGCCGCACATGAGGGACGGGCGAAGCTCCTCACAGCGCAGCCTCGCAGACTCTTTGGACGGAGTCTCTTCTGATAGTGGCGCGCGACATGATGCGTCATTCGTTGGACTTGGAGGCAATCTGCCTGCAGGAGCAGCATCACATCCACTAGGTGGAGAGGGTCGACATAGAGGACCTGAGAGCAGTGCGGGCCATGCAGAGCCTGCGAACAACATTCCAGCAGCTTCGTTGGTTGATCGGCGCATTGATGACGGGCCCACCACGCGCAAACATTCGGCATCACCTGCTCTAGTGTTGCCACTATCGTCATTTTACGATCGGGGGAGAGCAAGAGCAATTGACGGTGCAGCTGCGGCATGGAGGAGCGCATGCGCTCCGACAGATGTGCCCCTCGGGACGCGCTGTCGAGCGCATCGGTCCCGCACGCGAACCCTCCCGGCCGCGTCACGCAGGATTTTGCAGGACTTTGTCGCAGAGTGTTTTAGCCGCTCCGGCCGAGTGCGCCAGCCGTACCTCTCGCGAGCCCCTACGACAGGACAGGGTCATGCGAGGCACCGCTTACCTCCACCTGCGGGAGCTGTCAACATCCCTTAGGTGGGCGTATCCCCGCCGAGCTACTGAACCACATGCGAAAGCTTTTCATATGCAATTGCAGAGGTGGCCCAGCCGAGGGCGTTTCTCGCTCGTTGTAGCATAGGGGGTTACGCGCGGTTGAACGCCTGAAAATCGAACCCACACGTGAATCGACGTACTGGGGGGCTAAGGTCCCAAACGCGACTTGGCGCCGGTCGACTAGGACGCATCACACACACCACGCGTTACACCACAACACTCACATCTACCCACACATAACACATGGAAAAACACAAAACAAACACAACATCACAACACTCCTAGTCCCTTCAGTATAGGACCCATAACTTCATGTTGCGAGAATCAGGTAGGCATCGTGCGCTGAACTTTTGTATAAGAGTCGTGCGTGCTCATGACCCCCTCATATCGACCAGCCATGTGGACATTCGCAAGCATTTGCGTTGATGGGGTACTATGTGGTACTCGTAGCCTTGCGGCCCTTGATAATCTCGAGGGTCGCGTTCGACGCTCAAGTGTCGGCTGACAGGCGCTTTGAGGAGTTATCTCTCGACGTCAGACAACCGCCATGTGCGGTTGAAGACCACAGAGGGGTTGAGTAGACAGCTCCAGAGTTGTCGTGGCAGCCAAAATCAAGGGGTTTGACTTTGACGGCTACCACGGACTACAACGTCCAACCAAGAAAACTTAAAAGAGGAAACAACTACAGATAGAAAAAAGGGGGTATCACCCTATTTCATCTCTTTGTCTAGCTCATAGTCTGATAACAGTCTCCAGCGGAAGGTGTAGGCCAACCCGTGAGATGCGTGCGGATGGTGCCCAAAGCTGGACCCATAGGCAACCCGTTGTTCGAGGCGTTGGAGGCTCGTACGCGAGCCCCCATACGTCGACTGGGATTGATATCTCGCCCACACGCCGTTTCGCGCTATTAAAACTCGGGTCTACTAGCCATAACGCGCCTTTGCCTTTTTCGCTTGACCCATAACTTTCAGGTGTGGAAATCGGTAAGTGTCGCGCGCGCGGGTTAACATAAGGCCGCGCGACCACAGGACTTACGCACATCGACCAACAATGCGGATTTGCGTAAGCGATCGTGATGTCGGCGCACCATGTAGTGCCCATACTCGAGTGGCCTCGTTTAAGCCATGGGGTCGCTTTCGATGCTCAGGCGTCGGCTGAAGTGCACGCTAAAGGGAGTAAACCTTTAGCGAGCGCAAAAACCGGCCTGGGGGCCTTACCGTCTTCAGCACCCTGAGGTGTCCCAAGGGGTGCGAGGTAAGATGGTCCCTAGGGCAGGAAGGGATTCGGAGCGGTGGTGAGTTGTCTGGCGCATCACCAGCGACACGCTAATCCTTCTGCCCGGAACTTTATCGTTCCACCAAAAGCAAACTAAACAAGGAAAGAGAATAGGGGCGCTTGTCGCTAGCCGAAGAAGACATAAATGTCCTGCCGGACCGAGTTGCTGGGGGTCAGTCCCTCCTTCTCGCGGCGCTTTTGTTTCCCTAAGGATGTAAGTAGGTCAGAACTGTGCGAAGGGTAATCCCTTCAGCCCCGGACCTAGGACCTGGGACTAACGTTCGACCATATAAAATCAAAGAGTAAAAGAGAGCCGTAAACGTGCAGTCGCATATCCTTGTGAGGGTTATCCGAGCGTACACCTACTTTGACTATTAAAGAATCAGGATAGGAAAAGACCAATCGCAATCAAACAAAGAGTTTGTGTGGTAGTTCACTCTCACGACAGTTGTGTGATTTGCC